AAATACATCAAGAGGATCATCCATCATGATCAAGTAGGATGTATTCCAGGGATGCAAGGATGGTACAATATTAGAAAATCCATCAACATCATCCACCACATCAACAAAAAGGACAAAAACCATATGATCATCTCCATAGATGCCAAAATAGCATTCGACAAAATTCAGCATCCATTCATGATAAAAACTCTCAACAAAATGGGTATAGAGGGCAAGTACCTCAACATAATAAAGGCCATATATGACAAACCCACAACCAACATCATACTTAACAGTGAGAGGCTGAAAGCCTTTCCCCTAAGATCGGAACAAGACAGGGATGCCCACTCTCCCCACTTTTATTCAACATAGTTCTGGAGGTTCTACCCATGGCAATCAGACAACACAAAGAAATACAAGGCATCCAGATTGGTAAGGAAGAAGTCAAACCATCACTGTTTACAGATGACATGATATTGTACATAAAAAACCCCTAAAGAATCCACCCCAAAACTGCTAGATCTAATATCTGAGTTCAGCAAAGTTGCAGAATACAAAATTACTACACAGAAATCTGTTGCATTCCTATACACTAACAACAAACTAGCAGAAAGAGAAATCAGGAAAATAATTCCATTCACAATTGCATCAAAAAGAATAAAATACCTAGGAGTAAACCTAACCAAGGAAGTGAAAGACCTATACACTGAAAACTACAAGATACTCTGAAGAGAAATTAAAGAGGATACTAACAAATGGAAACACATCCCATGCTCATGGATAGGAAGATTTAATATTTCAAAATGGCCATCCTGCCTAAAGCAATCAACAGATTCAATGCAATCCCTATCAAAATACCAACAGTATTCTTCAACAAACTAGAGCAAATAATTCTAAAATTCATATGGAACCACAAAAGACCCTGAATAGCCAAAGTAATCCTGAGAAGGAAGAATTAAGCTGGGGGAATCATGCTCCCTAACTTCAAACTCCACTACAAAGCCACAGTAATCAAGACAATTTGGTACTGGCACAAGAACATAACTGTAGACCAATGGAACAGACTACAAAGCCCAGATATAAACCCAAGCATATATGACCAATTAATATACAATAAAGGAGCCATGGACATACAGTGAGGAAATGACAGCCTCTTCAACAACTGGTGTTGGCAAAACTGGACCGCAACATGCAAGAGAATGATACTGGATTCTTGTCTAAGCCCATACACAAAAGTAAACTCGAAATGAATCAAAGACCTGAAGTCATGAAACCATAAAACTCTTAGAGGACAACATAGGCAAAAATCTACTGAATACAAACATGAGCCACTTTTTCCTGAATGCATCTCCTTAAGCAAGGGAAAAGAAAACAAAAATGAATACTATATCAAACTAAAAAGCTTCTGCAAAGGACACCATCAACAGAACAAAAAGACATCCTAAAGTATGGGAGAATATATTCATAAATGACATATCTGACAAGGGGTTAATATTCAAAATATATAAAGAACTCACACGCCTCAACAACCAAAAAGCAAATAAGCTAATTAAAAAATGGGCGGAGGATATGAACAAGACAGTTCTCCAAAGAAGAAATTCAGGTGGCCCACAGGCACATGAAAAGATGCTCCACATCACTAATTATCAGGGAAATACAGATTAAAACCACAATGACATATCATGTCACACCAGTAAGGATGGCCAGCATCAAAAAGACTAAGAACAACAAATGCTGGTGAGGATGTGAAGAAAGGGGAACCCTCCTACACAGCTGGTGGGAATGTAAGCTAGTTCAACCATTGTGGAAAGCAATATGAGGTTCCTCAAAAAACTAAAATTAGAAATACCATTTGACCCAGGAATTCCACTCCTAGGAATTTACCCAAAGAATACAAGTTCTCAGATTCAAAAAGACATACGCACCCCTCTGTTTATCACAGCACTATTTAGAATAGCCAAGGTATGGATGCAACCAAAGTGTCCATCAGATGAATGGATAAAGAAGATGGGTACATATACACAATGTAATAACATTTAGCCATAAGAAAGACACAAATCCTACCATTTGCAACAACATGGATGCAGCTGGAGGATATAATGCTCAGTGAAATAAGCCAGGCAGTGAAAGGCAAGTATCAAATGATTTCCCTCATTTGTGGAGTATTAAGAATGAAGCAAAACTGAAGGAGCAAAACAGCAGCAGACTCAGAGTTCAAGAAAGGACTAGTGGTTACCAAAGGGGAGGGGTGGGAGAGGGGAGGTGGGGAAGGAGGGAGTAGGCATATTGAAGGGTATTATGGTTGACACAAATGGTGTGTGGAAGATCACAGGGAAGACAGTGTAGCACAGAGAAGGCAAATAGTGACTCTCTGGCATCTTACCACACTGATGGACAGTGACTGCAATGGGGTATGGGGGGGTGCTCGATAATATGGGTGAATGTAGTAACCACATTCTTTTTCATGTGAAGCCTTCATAAGATTGTATATCAATAATACCTTAAAAAAATTTTTAATTAAAAAAAAATGTAACTTAACAGATGAGATTATGTTAAGGCTCCTGAAATGGAGATGGTAACCTAGATTTGTCCCGGAGGGCACATCACCAGGGTCTTAACAAGAAGACAAAGAGTGAAAGAAGGCAATATAACAAAAGCAGAGATCAGGAAAAGGGAGAGTTTGAAAGATTCTACACTGCATACTTGGAAGATGAAAGAAGGGACTGAGCCACATGACGCAGGCATCCTCTAGAAGCTGGAAAATGCAGGGAAACAGAGATTCTTCTCTCAGGAAGGACTGAGCTCTGTTGATACCTTAACTTTAGCCCAGTGAGACTTGTTTTGGACTTCTGACTTCCAGAACAGTAAAATAATTAATTTAAATTGTTTTTAAAAAAAGAAAAGTATACATATCCTCTAACCCAGCAATTCTATTTTTACATGTATACTCTAGAGAAACTCTTGCAGATGAAAACTAGGAAACAAATTCAATAATTTCTATTGGCATATCATATGTGATAGCAAAAACTAAAAATAACCTGAATGTCCATTAACAGAGGAATATAGCATTAAAAAAGAATCTTAAAAACACAGATTGAATAAAAAAGTGAGTTGCTGACGAACATCATGTTTCATATAATGTGCAAAGACATACAAAACCTAACAATATGTTGTTGGGATTGTGTGTGTATGTAGTGAAACTATAATGTAAAGCAAGGGACTGATAAATACAAAATTCCAAATGGTGGTCGCCCTCTATTGGAGAGTAGGTGAACAACAACACTGAGAGGGGATCCCACAGAGAGCTTCAAAAATACATGTGATGTTCTGGTTTAAGCTTTGTGGTGGATACTTGTGTATTCATTTCACTGCTGACCTTATGAAATATTCTTACATGCAAAAGAACATATAAAGCATATACATTGAAACAGAAACAAATAATATGAGATAAATTATAGAAAAACAAAATTTTAAAAAGAAAGGGAATTAGGTGTAAGAAAGTGGGTATAATAGGTACAAACAACTCTTCCAATAAATTTTGCTGCAAAGTGGAGGTGAAATGGGATGGTAAATAGAGGGGATGGGAGGGAAGGGAAAAAGTGTTGATAATAAAAGCAGCTGATGGACCGTGGAGTCTCAGCTGCAGATGGAAGAGATGAGAAGGAAGTCTGTTGAACAAAACAAAACAAAACAAAAGATAGGTTAGATTCAAAAGGTAATAGCAGAAGACACTATAGAAATTGCCCAGCAGCCACCTCATTATACAGATAGGGAGAGGATAGGAGAGGTAGAGCAAGTTGCCCTCTATATTCAGCTGCTTCATGGTGGAACTCTGACTAAACCTAGGTCCCTGATACCCAGTTCAGGGTGGAGCCCATAGGAAAGAGCAAGAGACATTGTGAGAGAAAAAAAATGGGATATATAATAAAAATTCTTTGAGCCTAGAACCTGGAGGGCCATGTATTGTAGCATATCATAATGGTCAAGAATCACCTGCCTTGGGCATCCAGCAGCTTTTCCACTGTACTAGATGAGAAGACCCTGGAAAACGTCTTTGTTTCAAGCTTCAATTTCCTCAGCTGTAAAAAGGAATAATAATACCTACCTCATTGAATTATTACATTTGTAAGAGCACTTCATGCAGTGCCTGACCCATCTTAAGCACTCAGTAAATTATTATTTATCATGGAATAATCATGGTGCAATAGGAAATGGGAAAGTTAAGAGAGAAATTGATTGGTGGAGAAATATAATGAATTTGGTTTGGGAAATGTATTGTTTGATTCATTATTTGATTGATTTGATTCATTATTCTACCAATTCCCCAAAAGGGGAAATGGTGACTTTTAGACAAACAGAATTAAAGTGCTAATGGGACAGCCAAATGATGATTAACCACAGGTAGCCTGAAAATGTAGAAGGTGAGTTTTGGTGAATTACCAGAGCTGGACATCTCAGACTGGGAATTATCAACGTGAAAAGCCAGCTCTATTGCTATTCCAGTTAGCTCTTTAAGAAAGGAATGTTGAAGAAAAGTGGTCTGAGGACCATGGTCAGGAAGAGGAAGAAGAGGCAAGAGAAAAACATGTGCAGTCATAAAGGCAGGCAAGGAATGAGGAAATGAGGAGAGGATAAAGTTGTGGGAGATGAGAGGAATGAAAAAGAGGTCAGCACAAATGCAGTGTAGAATTTAAACGACAATAAAAGTAGAAGAGCAGATAAAATTTGGCTAGTTCTCAGTGATGGCCTTTGAAAGAGCAGTTAGAGTGAAAATCACAGATGTGCAAGCCAGGGGGAAACATGTAAAGAGTAAGTGTGGGAAGAAAATGAAGGTAAGATATAAGCCACTTGATTTTTGCAGGTCATGGAAAGAGCAAGAAAGCTAAGAATGAGGATTCCTACATTTGTCAGTTCTTTGATTATGATTTCCATGGCATTACTTTCATAACAAGCCAGTGTTTTCATAAACAAAATTTAAGGGATATTTTTTCTTTTCTTTCTTTTTTTTTTTCATTTTGCAGCAGATGTTATCCTCAACTCTCTGGTGTCTGAGGCATTTGTCAGGTTTTTTGTGGAGCTTGTGGGACATTATTCTTTGAGTATGACTGTCACGGAGCATGGGGAGCGTGTATTCCAAAGGGAGCCATTCCGTAAATCCCACACCTCACGAAGTGTACGCCATTTCCTGGATCTCTTCATGGAAACTCAGATGTTTGCAGGATTCATCCAGGACCGAGAGCTTCGGAAAAGTGGGGTGAAAGGTCAGTTTCATCATAAAGTTTTGCCTCTCTATTTAGTGAGTGCTTGAAAGGTTTCAAAATAATATAAACCAAAAAACAGCATAAAGCTATAAGGGCTCAATATCTGAGTTGTTTATTTTGAGAAATATTTACTTTGTAATATTGTTTTAGCTATGGAAGTGTGTTGATAGTGAGCACAGAGTTTCATTCAACTTGATTTCAATCTTGAGTGTTAGACAATTTCACAACGTGCATTTTCCTTATAGGTTTGTTTGAGGTCCGGGCCCTCCAGTATTTGGAAACAATTCCTGAGTCTGAGCCCAGTGGGGTAAATAGAATTTTGCGGAGTCTTGGTGAGTTGCTGTGTCTTCCTGTTAGATAAATGTGGTTGAAAATACTTTGCAATAAGCACACCTCATCACACAAACTTTATAATCAGATCAACAATATAACAAGTAGGCTGACTAGAAACCGTGACCTTAGTTCCAAAGTGTTTTAGAGAACAAGAAGTCTTCCTCGGAGGTTGGAATTCTCCGTCAGTTGTCCATGGGACCATTTTCCTTAAATTAAGCTCCTGTATGATATAATAATCTGCATATCATGGTTATTAATGTTTTCTAGGTCACCTTCCTGGGAGAATCTTATAAAAACTGTGGACCTTTTTCCCAGAAAAAAAAGTTTTCTGGGAAAAATTTTGCATACAATTTTGCATACAGTTCATGCACCTTGGAGCCCATCCCTAGACTCCAAATTAAAAACACCTGGTTTAGAGAGGATCTGAGGTGAAAGATTTCCTGGAAGTCTCTAACTTTATATTTCATAAAGAAGCACAGTTGTTTGTGATTTTTCAATTATAATTAACTTTTAATTATCAAGTATAATATGGGAGAACAGTAAGTCATGTGGTAGCCCAAAACACTGAAGAACCTATATTCTGTGGTAATTCTATTGGTCTTTAAAATATATGCCCGTAATTAAAATTAAGCCCTATCTGTAACGTCTTTCCATTTTGACGGGTGAGGATTTAATAATTTATGTAACTGTTGAATCATATGCTGTATACTTGAAACCAATAGAATATGGTTTATCAACTATACTTCAATATAAATAAATAAAGTAAAATAAAAAATTAGGCCCTATCCTTAACTAGCTGAGAAACCATGGACAATTTATGCCTAAAGGTATTTCATCTTTATACTATGGCATATTTCATACTTTATACTGTAACAGTGGTTCTCAGCTCTGAATACAATAGTATAATCTCTGGGGAGCTTAAATAAAAATCCCCTCCTACCCCGAGCTCCAAGAAATCACTAGGGAGCAAGCCAGGTGATTTGAACCTAGAATTAGGGTTGAAAGCCACTGGATTAGATAATGTGTGACTTCTATCTCTACAATTAGACACTCGGGGTTTTACTGACAGCCTGAGATGGCAGCTTACTCCTGGGCTGTTTTGAATGACTAGATTGTTAATACCTTGCTTCAAATAATGTAAAATAAATAAAAATGAACCAATGAGAGCCCACTCTACTCTTTTCTCCTTTTAGGAAGTAAAATGAAATTTCTGCAGAAGAAATAAAATCTTTGAGTGACCACCTCCATCCTAAAAGAGAACAAAAAGTGCTAAAGAAAATCCATTTCCAAGACTCAGGCCGCCCTGACGTATTCCACAACAGCCTGGGAAGCTGGAAAGGTTACAGAGTGGGCCAGGCTCTTGCAGGAGGAGTCTCCTGTTGCTGCTGTGGTGGTCACTGGAGAATTGTTGGGAGTAGTCTGGAACCAGTGCTTTCTTTACTCTGTCTCCTGGGTTTTTTTAAGTGGCCTTCTCTGTTTGATTCTTGGGCTCATTTGTGTTTCATTATTCATCTGTGAAGGCACTTGTCTTTTACGAGGGAAAGACTTAGTGTTCCAGTTAAAAAAACAGCTCAAAGATTAACACAATGAGAGAACTGCTGAGTTTAAGGCACTAGGGAGGCATGATAAAAGTGTAGAACACTATCCCTGCACACATAATCTCAACACTGAACTACCATGGCAGCTATGGGGCTGTTGGAGCTTAGAAATATACTCATCATGTATCTTTTTTTTTTAATGTTCTGTCTAGGGGAATCTCACTTATATGGAAACCCTACTTATTAGGGCTGTTATCATATAGAAGCAGACATCTTGCAACTTCTCAACATTATGTGACATTTGAATAGCTTGTCATGCATATCAATGATAAACTTTGTGGCATTATAGTTAATAGGAAAATGTTCTTTCAAGGGCATGAGAACCAGTTTTTTTTTTTAAGTGTCCACCCTGTGCCATGCACTATTGTACATGAACATATATGTCATCTTACTCAGTCTTTTAGTCAACTTCATGAGTTATTTGCATCTCCATTTTACTAATGAAGAAACTGGAATTCAAAGAGATTAAATGACTTGTCCCAAATTGCACAACAGAGCCAGAACTGAAGACAGGACTATTTGTTTATGAACACAGAGAAAATCGGTTAGCCCTGCAGGAAATTTGAGCTCTGTGGGAATATAGCTATTAAAAAAGTTCTCTTTTAAGCTGAAGTATACTAGAGCCAACTCTCAGCTCTGAGGATAAGGAAATTCAAACTTCAAATGCCTAAATGAGATACTTTTTTGGTTTCCCAAGAATTGCTGATCTTCTTGCTCTAGTTAAATTGGAATATGAACCCAGAATATGAACATTTCCTGCACACACACTGTATAATTGCCCCAGCCCTAAATATTTAAAGTGGTGGTGGTGACTGGGAAGAGGAATTTGTCAGGAATGGTGCAATTTTAGTAAATGCCATTTGTTTTCTTCAACTCCAGCTGTTCTTAACTGTCATAAAAGTATTCAAGCCTAACAATCTTACAGGTTGTATTATGATACACTTTATTGATGTGTACAATACTGTCATTACAACTAATTTGGGTTTGCATGAATTTATCTGAAACAGACACCATTTTGAGACTGGTGCTGTTAATTCCTATAGATGTAGATCCAGAAAACAGTACTGAGCCTGTGTCTTTTAAGAAATGTTTAAGAAGCTTACCCCAGCGGGGCTCCTAAGAGAACATCTCCATATTTGGCCTCTTCTAACACTCCAACCCTGAGGGAACAATTAATTGGGAATTAAGTTCTCATTAGAGTGTACGTTATTGTGGTGGATCTTGGCCATCTCTCTGAGACCTTTTTCTCAGGGATGACTGTGTTTTATCCCTGAGAGCTGAAGCAGTTTCCTTTTTTTAGGTCTGTTTTTTGTTTTGTTTTTGTAAAGTATGAATTCCGAGCATGTTTGCAAAATTGCTCAAGTTTGTGTAAAATATTGTTTACAGATCTTTTAATGAGTGAGCACAAAAGTTCCGTGGATCTCCTGGAGAATTTTAAATAAAATTGCCTAAGATGCAAAAATCTTCTACTTAACTTCTACTTAAATCTATAGCTAGCACATTTATGTGATGGTAGGTTAAAAGATAATCCAAATCGATCCTGAACACTAACCAGATTTACCAACCGGGGCCAACATTTTCAGGCTCGTAGCAAAGCCTGGATGTAGATTGCACGACGGTCAGGGTATATAATATAACACCCTTATTTGGTCTTTGACTTAGTCGCAGGGATGTGGGAGCGACGGGCCGGAGACCAAGAAGCAGAGCGCGGCTGGGAGGCTAGGCGGGGCACTATTCTATTACCGGAAATCGTAAAGGCAAATAATAGGACTTTCTGTGGCCTTGAAAGCAAAATGACAGGGTTTTTTAAAGTTGGGGTTGGTGGGCAGTTATCGATCTCAATCTCCATCCCTAAAGATCAGGTTCCTTTTCTTACGGAGATCCTAAAGCTTCGCGACTTCACTTGAATATTGGCGCCTACTTCTACAATCTAGGAAAGAACTGCACTGATCCAATTGATTGTCAGGGCGCCGAGAACGAACGGTGGGGATACAGCAAAGTTCAAGGGCAGCAAAGCCCAGCACAAGAGACAATAAGTTTAAGGGGAGAAGGTAGAAAAGGAAGCCTAAGTGAAAAACAAGGTTCTTTCTCCCCGCCAAATCCTAAAGCCAGTATCCCCTCCAAACGATTTAAAGGATTCCCCTCCCAGATACCAGCTTCCTGAAAGAGACCAAAAGCCCAACTTCTTTCCAACGCGCTATCAGTCGGAAGCAAAATAGTGGAACAGGCGGGGACAGGAAATTGAGAAATTCCCTTGAATCTAGGAAACAGCGGAGTGCGGGACGTCACGTCCGACCAAAACAATATGGCCGGGCAATTCCAACCAACCGGGCGAGCGCGCTTTCGGAATTATCACCTGAGCATGCGCCAAATCCAACGCGTAGGCGACGGGGAGTATATCAGCGGCTGGCGCAGGCGTAATAAAAGGGACCTGAATTTGCGCCGACTCAGAAAACTCAGGCGAGCCTGAGAATGGCGGGCACGGGTTTGGTGGCCGGAGAGGTTGTGGTGGATGCTCTGCCGTACTTTGACCAAGGCTATGAAGCGCCTGGGGTGCGGGAAGCGGTGAGTTCGGGGTATCTGTGTAGCTGGCCCAGCGCTTGCTGGCCCTTAGTGCTGGAAGAAGCGTCTTATAATTTACGGCCTCTCTCCTGGCCCCCGTTTCGTTCTTAGGCGGCGGCGCTAGTGGAGGAAGAAACTCGAAGATACCGACCTACGAAGAACTACCTGAGCTACCTGACGGCCCCGGATTATTCTGCCTTTGAAGTAAGTGCAATGTCGTGAGCCCACCGTATGAACTAGGGTCCTGTGAGTCTTTATTTTGGATTGAGAGCCTTAGCCACGTAGAAGCGAGTTTTAAATTCCGAACTTAACTATTGCTTGCCTAGCTGCTGTTTACCTATTTGTACACGTGTAATCAGTCCATGCGAAACACCTAAATAGATCAGCCTTCTCCAGGGTTTTTATCCCGAGATTCAGAATTGGGACTCTGCGAACTACCTAACTGCAGAAATAAGTGTGTCAGTTTTTACGAGTTAGGTTCCTTGTGTAAATTCTCAAAAGGAGCCTCTCCTCTCAAAGGTCGATTCTAAAACAAGTGATGGAGAGTTTTTAAATACATACAAGCCTCATTTGCTAAGCTTCTGAGAACCACTGTACGGCGACCTTTGTATCCACGCCTAGGTGTTAACCAAGTCAGTGTGAATGACTGAGGCAACAAACCCTATGTCGGTAATATACCGTTTAAATATTTAGCCTAGAAGTGCACCCAAGATACTGTATAGTGTCTAATGAGCTAAATGAAATGTAAAATATCATTTCTAAATTAATGAATTCTATTAGGCATTTTAATAATATATGTTTGGGGTTTCTCCCATTATAGGTAAGTATTTATGAAAGAATTCTGTTATTAAAACGCAGTATTTGTATTGAAGTAGCAAGAAAAAAATGTTGGTTAAGTTTTTAAGTAGGAGAGAGATGTTCCTCTGATACACTGTTTCCCTTTTTCTAAATGTCAGCCAAATATAGATGTTACCACATGAAGAACTAAGTACAGCAATGCTTCCTTATTAGATTGAGTTTTTAATGTTTTGGATAACTGCACTCAATGACAAACTTTAAAATAGTTGAACCAGTTTTTTTTTTTAGCTCTCTTAAATACAACATATGCCCTCTGTCTTAGTAATTAGGATACTGATTATTTAACCTTTTTAAAGAATAGGAGCTAAATAATGTCCTGAGCTCACTCTCTCAATCCTGTAAATAGCCCTGTGAACTGTATGACTATATGCTTATTATGCCAATTTTTTAAGATGGAAAAAGTGCAGCTTAGAAAGCCTAACTAATTTGCCAAGACCTTAAGTACTCCTTAATCTGCCTTTTCGAATCTGCTCTTAAATTAGTAAATTTATTTATGATGGTCTGGCACACAGTAAGTATTCATTAAATAAAATATACCAGGTATTGGGAAAAAGGATAGGCAAGGTCTATATACTCATGGAGCTTTCTAGGGCAAAGACATAATTAAGCAACTGAGATTGATAAACCTATATAGAGAATTAAAGTAGTGAGGGATAGAGGGTGGCTGGGTGACTGCTTTAGGTAGGATGGTTGAGGAAGGCCTAGCTAAGCGGGGATGAGAATGCTCCATGCTCAGGGATCTCTTTTGTCTTCACCACTCAATCTTCATTACTTAGAACAGTGCCTGTTACACATAAGCACCAGATATTTATCAGTTGAATGTATGAAGAACTTCTAAGGCAGTTTTATTTAATTAATACTTACTGTGTGCCAGACACACCTAGAGTTCTTTTCATGACTTAGCCCCCTGATGTTTGGCTCAAGCTTTGGAGAGAGTTGAGTTAAAATTCCAGGTCTATTACTGGCCGTGTGAATTACATAAGGGCTCCTTCCTTTGTTACAGGGCTCCAGATGGCTTGCACTGCATTTTTATAGTTTCTCTATTACCTGTTAGTTGTTCCTCCTTGTATGTCACTGTGCATAGCCTTATAGCTAGAATGTCTCAGTTTTCTGAAGGAAACTAAGATAACCACACTTTATAGAGTTGTGTGTAACTAAGCAATAATACAAAAAAATACTTTTTCCAACAAGAAATGCTTAATGCAAAACTTAAAGAGTGTGGGCTTCTGAAAGGCTTCTTTTGCTTACTCTTTAGTTTGATTGTTAAGATAGGTGAAACCCTCAAAAAATGGAAATTAGGTGGGATTACTGAGATACTACTATAAATGAATATTTCACTTAAGCAGTTCTTTACTTTCAGGTCATGAAATATACAGAACAGAAGTGGAATAGGATATTGACCAAAATAATGGACCTAAAGAAGTAGAGCTATACCATATCTTTATTTTTTTATTTTTTTTATTTTTTATTAAGGTATCACTGATAAACACCCTGTGAAGGTTTCACATGTAAAACAATGTGGTTACTACACTCACCCATATTATCAAGACCCTCCCATACCCCTTCAGTGTAGTAAGATGCCACAGTCACTACTTGTCTTCTCTGTGCTACACTGCCTTCCCCATGACGCCCCCACCCCTGACACCATGTGAACTAATCATGATACCCCTCAATCCCCTTCTCCCTCCCTCCCCACCTGCCCTCCCCCACTGCTCCTCTTTGGTAACCACTAGTCCCTTCTTGGAGTCTGTGAGTATGTTGCTGTTTTGTTCCTTTAGTTTTGCGTCGTTATTATACTCCACAAATGAGGGAAATCATTTGTATAGCATATCTTTGAAAATAGTAAAACTGTTAGAGCAGATAGCATAACTGGTTTCTTTTGCTTCTTCCTCCTCTGCAAAGAGTAAAGTGTGAAAATGGCAGCCAGGACCAAAAAGAAAGTGTAGGTTTAGACTAACAGTCCTAAAGCAAATTATTTATGTCCAAGTCTACTCCTCTCTTCCTGTGCCCTCAGTGAATACAGAGATCCATAGTTCTCGACACTGGCTTCCCTTTACAGTCAGCTGGTGAGTTAAAAACAAAAGTTATAATCATGTCCAGTTTCTTTCTAAGAAAATTCAATCAGAGTTGGGGAGAGGGGTGAGATGTGACACACTGGAATTGTTTTCAAAGCTTCCAACTGATTCTGATGTGCTGCTGGGACTGAGAAGCACTAATCTAAGATTAATCCTTCTCTTCTGTAGACCCCTTTACATAGGAAATGTGTGTGTGTGCTTCAGATCCTACAGTGCACTTACCCCCAGAGAATATGAGGGGGGAGGGAAATGATCCATTATAATGGGTAGTAAGAAATATGAATATTTAAGTAGGTTAGATTCATTATTCGTTTGTTGGTTCTTAATTTCAGTTTGTTCATACGATTTTGGAAATAATTCTCTGATTTATACCTCAGACTGACATAATGAGAAATGAATTTGAAAGACTGGCAGCTCGACAACCAATTGAATTGCTCAGTATGAAACGGTAAGTCTTTTTTCTGGGTTTAGCTGAACTCAAATCATTGTTTAGCTTTAATTTACAAGTAAAACTGCTATAACCATGTAAAAAGCAGTGTTGAAAAGAGAAAATTCTTGTGTTTTTACATGTTTATGTTTTTTTATGTATTAAGTGGCTCATAGTCCTGTATTAATGTTTAAAAATATTCTTTGCACCATTATCTAAAAATGCAAAATCCAACAGTGAGAATAGTATATTGTAATGAAGTTCATGTTTAAGAATTCCCAAGGAAATGTTCCTAATTAGACATCTAGTTCTTCACGGATAACAGATAGAGAGTGAAACCAGTATTAATGACTTGTCATGATCCCTGCTTCCTTCTTAACACCAGGCAGCATTAGTAAACACAGAATGCCTGGATAGTTTGACTTTGGTTCTCCTCCTGTGCCACTTTCTACAAAACTGTTTCTCCTTCCTCAGGGAAAAAACCAAAACACCCTTTGCTTCTTCCTTTAACATGGAGAATTGGATGCCATGATATCTAAG